CTGAAATTTTTACAATGTTATAAACCAATGTTACTGCAATAAACAAAAAATTAAAAAAATATATATATAAGTTAGGCACAGAAAGAGATTAACAACAACAATAATAAAATAGAACAACTATAATAATATACTGTAATAAAAGTTATGTAAATGTGGTCTCTCTCTCTCAAAATATCTTGTACTGCACTCACCCTTCTTCTTTTGATGATGTGAGGTGATGCAATGCCTACGTGATGAGACAAAGTGAGGTGGATGACGTAGGCACTGTGACCTAGCCTTAGGCTACCTCAGAAGGAGGATGACTGTGGTTGACCTCAGATAACTGAAACCGTGGAAAGCAAAACTGCAGATAAGGGGGGATGACTGTGCGGTTTTTATAGTGGGAGGGAAGTTTATGGAACTTGTTCTTTTGCCGTATGAACTCCTAGGAGATCTGGTTAAAAGAAATTCATCACTCACAAACAAAGCACTTCAAAAATATGTAAATCGTCGGGCCAGCCCAGTGGCATAGTCGTTAAGTTTGTGCGCTCCACTTCGTATCCCCGGTGTGGACCTATGCACCGCTTATCAAGCCATGCTGTGGCAGGCATCCCACATATAAAATGGAGGAAGATGGGCATGGATGGTAGCCCAGGGCCAATCTTCCTCAGCCCCAAAAAAAAAAAAAGTGTAAATTGTCGTTTTGACAAGAAGACATCTTTTGTATTCCAAGTTTCTAATAATGGTTAGTTCCCAAGCTAATCCACTGGTCTGTTGGACCCACAATGGGGCTAAACTAGACTCCTAATGCTATTAGTCTGAGACAGGTCCTAGAAACAGGGTGTTATGTAGTACATAAGACAAGAGGTACAAGATCTCTCTCCTCTCTCTCTCTCTTTCCTTCCCTCCTTCCCCCCACCCCACTTTTTCTGTTTCTCTCCCTTCCTCCCCTTCTCTCTCTCTTTTAATTTCTCTTTTTATATTTTTAATTGTGGAAAATATATATGACATAAAATTTACCATCTTAACCATTTCTTTTTTTTTTTTTTTAATTTTTTATTTATTTATTTTTCCCCCAAAGCCCCAGTAGATAGTTGTATGCCATAGCTGCACATCCTTCTAGTTGCTGTATGTGGGACGCGGCCTCAGCATGGCCAGAGAAGCAGTGCGTTGATGCTCGCCCGGGATCCCAACCCAGGCCGCCAGTAGCGGAGCGCGCGCACTTAACCGCTAAGCCATGGGGCCAGCCCTTAACCATTTCTAAGTGTACAGTTCAATAGTGTTACGGACATTCATATTGTTGTGCACTCAATCTCCAGAATTCTTTTCAACTTGCAAAACTGAAACTCTGTACCCATTAAACAACACCTCCCCATTTCCCCCTCCCCCAGCCCCTGGCGACCACCATTCTACTTTCTGTCTCTATGAATTTGACTACTCTAGGTACCTCATATAAGTGGAATCATACAGTATTTGTCTTTTTATAACTGGCTTATTTCACTTTGCATAATGTTCTCAAGGTTCATCCATGTTGTACCATGTGTCAGAGTTTCCTTCCTTCTTAAGGCTGAATAATATTCTATTGTACAGATATACCACATTTTGTTTATCCGTTCATTCATTGATGCACGTGTGGGTTGTTCCACCTCTTGGCTATTGTCAATAATGCTGCTATGAGCATGGGTGGACTCACTTTCTCTTTAACATAACTAGCTTTGTGGAAAATGAATCCTGGGGCTAAAATAGACACAGATTGCTTCAGTGACACTGGGAATTGAGAGGGCATTGTAGGGAAAGGGCAGAAACCCTGAGCCAGGTGTGGAGGCAGGAGGGCGTAAAGCATTTGTGAGAGGATGTTTAGAGCACCACGTCCAGGACTGAGGTCTGGGCTTCCAGACTTACAAGGGAGGACTTGGTGTCCAGGGAGGGCAGATCTCAGGTTCCACAACAAGATAAACTTTCATTAGACTATGGTTACTCTGACCCCCTCAGATATTAGGCTTCATAACCTGGCATCCTTTGACCTGGAGGTGGCTAGGTGGGACAGGTGCAGCCTCTTTCTGATTGCCTCCATGTTCTGCACAAGCGTCACTTTCTCTGGGTGCCGTGAGGTGAGCGATTGGAGGTGTCATGGTGGGTGTTTGGTACGCCTTGGCCAGCACAGCTTTCCTTGGCTAGGGGAAAAGTGGCTCCAGTGCCATGGTTAGGGTTATCTTCAAGACGCACTGAAGACCTCACTGCCAATTTTCTTTTACTTTGCTCAGAAAACTCTTCCAGTCTTTCCCAAAGGAAACGAAGTCCAAGTTAAAGTATTGAATATAGGAAATGATAACATGACTATATCTTTTCCTGGAGAGATGATGACACTTAACCAAATGTCTCAAGTAAGTAGAAGGAAATGCAACTTTCTTTTTCATCTTCTGACCTGAGTTATAATAGGATTTGGAGAAGGTGATCTTCTTGGTCCTTGTATAAATCCAAAGATGAGTCCAGAAGTGAAATGTCTTAGTATCTTGATCTCATTTTGGCTTCGCTCTAAACCTGTGTGCCTCAAACTTGAATATGCATGTGACTCACCTGGGGAGCTTGTTAAAATGCACACTCTCGCTCCGTAGGTCTGAAACGCTGCATTTTTAATAAGCTGTCAGGTGATGTTGCTGCTGTTGGTGCATCGAACCACCCTTCAAATATCTAGGTCAGTTGTTCTCCACTGGGGGCAATTTTGCCCCCTCAGGGGACATTTGACAGTCTCTGGAGACATTTTCATTGTCACAACTGGGAATGTGCTATTGGCATCTCCTGTGTAGAAGCCAGGGATGCTGACACACAGCCCCCCACAACAAAGAGTTATCTGGCTCCAAATGTCAATAGTGTGGAGGTTGGAAAACCCTTATCTGGATGGTCATTGGTCTGGACTGGAGGTTCTCAACCTTGAGCCCATATTGGAATCACCCAGAGGGCTTTGACAATTGTGGTACCTGGGTCCCGACGCCAGAGATTTTGATTGGACTGGTCTCATTCCTGTTTAGCCATGGTTGAGAACCACTGCCTTAGATCTTGCCAAGCTAATAATGTTGAATAAAAAAGAAAGTTCAACTCCTGATGCTTGGGGCAGCCCAGTACTGATTTTTACCAGGGCTGTTGCTTTTTCCCTGATGCTGTTCTTTGCCCCATAGTACGAATTATTTCCGTAGTGTTTATCTTCATAAAATGAAGTAAAAGTAAAATGCTGGATGAAAAGTATATTTCCTCTGATAATATTAAACAACTTCATGACAGAGCACATTCTGGTGGGTGGGAGGCTGAGACAAACCAATGCCAGCTCCCCCAAGGCATTTTTTGATATGTATGACTGTGAGCTGGGAGTGTCCAAAAATATGCTATGACAATGTTCAGTTACACAGTGCAGAGCAAGACTTTATGGTATTAACTATGACTCCTTTTCCCCCATTATAGACAAATGAATTTATGACTTTCGATGTAGACAAACTGAGTATAAACATTTCTTCCACTGGATCACCAGTCACGCCAGTAACTCATAACTTTGAGCAGGGCCATCGCCATACCCTTCTAGTGTGGGCCCCCAGTCAGTACCGAGTGGTAAGTAGCTGGACACCTACAGCTGACGCTTTGTTATTTGTGATGTTGGAGACATGGCCTTTTAGTGATGTGATTTCGTTTTAACTCTATGTAGTATCATATTAGATAATTCTCAATTTCTTCCTTCTTCAAGGACACAAGTCATTTGATTTCTAATAAAAGTTTGACTGATGGATGGGAAGGATTAATATTAATTAAAAATTTTTTAGAAAGAACTTTTCTGGGCGTGGTGTGTGTGTACACAAGTCAGACAGAGGGCATGTGTGCATTCTCAGGGACTTTTTGAGATAAAGTTTTAAATATATCGTTAATTGTATTAATTTAAAAAATTTGCACTGCGTAATTGGAAAATTAGAGCAGTTTCTGAAAAAATATAGTGAATATATCAGGTAAAAGCAATAAAAATACATACATATAAAATATTTCATGACAAAATATGGGTGTCTAAATATGCCATTCAGCATATAAGGAAGCTATGAAGGGTCGTTGAACTAAACGAAGGAGTTGTAGTTATTCTGTAAGGTGAATATAAGTGACTTTTTATAGAACTGCAATATGGAATTAAGACTTGTTGGTCCTGTGTTTAATTAGGGAGCTGTTGAGTGGCTTGTTCTAAATTCTTGGAAAGCAGTATTCTGTGGAACCATTGGAAAGCAAGCATCAAAAGTTGTAGACTTTCATGTTAATGTCAAGGAAAACCAGGGTTGAAGGATGGAGCCCTTTAAATATAGTCATTATGCTCTTAGCTCCTAGGATAAATGTCAACATCACTCTCCTTCTCAAAGGCTGAAACGGTAATCTGAACTTATTTTAATGAATTAGATTTGAAAATGTTTTTTTTTCCCTCAGATAAAGGATGGCCTTGACGAGAAGCCAGATAAAGGAGAAAACGGAATCAGGTATATACATTTCTTTAACGCTTAAGTTAAATCAGCTTCTCATGAAAGTAATGCATACCCATAGTAAAGTCCAGCTGTAACAAGGATATAAAATGAGAGCATAGAGTTTGTCCCAAGAATGTAAGGCTGGTTCAATCTTCAAAAAAATGAATCAATATAATCTATTATCTTAATAAACTAACAAGGAAAATCCATATCATCATATCAATGCAGAAAAAGCATTTGATAAAATTCAGCATCCATTCATGATAAAAACTCTCAGCAAACTAAGACTTGGAGGGAACTCCCTTACTCTGAAAAGGGACATCTGAAAAAGCCCAGGCTAGGGGCCGGCCCAGTGGCACAGTGTTTAAGTTCGGTGTGCTCCACTTTGGTGGCCCGGGGTTTTCAGGTTTTGATCCCAGGCGCAGACCTACACCATTCATCAAGCCATGATGTGGCAGCGTCCCTCATACAAAACAGAGAAAGATGGGCACAGATGTTAGCTCAGGGCCACTCTTCCTCAAGCAAAAAGAAGAAGATTAGCCACAGGGGTTAGCTCAGGGCCAATCTTCCTCACCAAAAAATAAATAAAATAAAAAAACCCTGGCTATCCATTCATCCCTCAACTGACTTTTAGGTTGTTTCTATAGCTTGGCTATTGTGAATCATGCTGCAGTGAACATAGGAGTGCAGATATCTCTTTGAGATACTGATTTCATCTCCTTTAGATATATACTTAAAAGTCAGAATGGTGGATCATATGGTAGTTCTAGTTTTAATTTTTTAAGGAGCTTCCATAGTGATTTCCATAATGGTTGTACCAATTTACCTTCCCACCAAGGGTGTACAAGGGTTTCCTTTTCTCCACATCCTCACCAATATTAATCTCTTGTCTTTTTGATGATAGCCACCCTAACAGTTATGAGGTGATATCTCATCGTGGTTTTGATTTGTTATTTCTCTGATGATTAGTGATGTTGAGCACCTTCATATGTACCTGTTGGCCATTTGTATGTCTCCTTTGGAAACATGTCTATTCAGGTCCTTTGCCCATTTTTTAATCAGATTATTTGTGGTGTTTTGCTATTGAGTTGTATGCGTTCCTTATATATTTGAAATATTAACCGCTTATCGGATAGATGATTTGCAAATATTTACTCCCATTTTGTAGACTTCCTTTTCATTTTGTTGACAGAAACTTTTTAGTTTGATGTAGCCCCACTTGTTTATTTTTGCCTTTGCTGCCTGTGCTTTTGATGTCATAGCCAAAAAAATCATTACCAAGACCAATGTTAAGGAGCTTTTTCCCTATGTTTTCTTCTAGGCATTTTACAGTTTCAGGTCCTACATTTAAGTCTTTAATCCATTTTGGGTTAATTTGTGTGATGGTATAAGACAAGGGTCCAGTTTTTGCATGTGGATATCCAGTTTTCCCAATACCGTTTATTAAATAGACTATCCTTTCCCTATTGTGTGTTCTTGGCACCCTTGTCAAAGATTAGTTGACCATGTAGCATTATTTTTATAGATATAAACCAGCTGATTCTAAAATTTATATGGAAAGGCAAAGGAACTAGAAGAGCCAAAATTATTTGGAAAAAGAATGAAGTTGGAAGACTCATAATAGTACAAATTTTAAGACTGATTACAAAGCTATAGTAATCAAGACAAAGTAGTTTTGGCAAAAAGGTCAATGGAATAATGGAAATAGACCCCTACAAGGACAGTCAACTGATTTTTGACAAAAGTACAAAGACAATTCAATGCACTAAGGATAGTCGTTTCAACAAATGGTGTTGAAACATTTGGACATTCATACATGAAAAATGAACTTGACCTAAAATTCTTATATAAAAATTATATTAAAATTTTTACACATCTTATAGGAAAATTAACTCAAATTTGAATATAGATCTACATGTAAAATGTAAAACTATAAAATTTTTATAGGGAAATATAGAAAATCTTTGTGACTTGGGTTCAAAAGCGTGATGCATAAAAGAAAATAATTGATAAATCAGATTTCATCAAACTAAAAACATCTGTTCTGTAAATCTCATTGTTAAGAGAATGAAAAGATGAGCTACAAACAGGGAGAAAATATTTACAAATACCTATCTGACAAAGAACTTGTGTCCAGAATATATAAAATACTCTTAAAACTTGATAATAAGAAAATAACCCAGTTAAAAAACAGAGCAAAAGATTTTAACAGACATTTCACCAAAGAAGATATTCAAAAGGCAATAAGCACATGAAAAGATATTCAACATCATTAGCCATTAAGGATATATAAATCAAACCTGCAGTGAGTTTTCATAACATACCTTTTGGATGGCTGTAATAATTTTTTAAAAACTGACAATACAAGTGCTGGTGAAAATACAGAGTGATTGGAACTCCCATACATTGGTAGTGGGAGGGCAAAATGGTACAGCCACTCTGAAAAACAGTTTGGCAGTTTCTTATAAAGTTAAATGTACACTTACCATATGACCCAGCCTTTCCACTCCTAGATATTTATCCGAGAGAAATGCAAACTTATGTTCACATAAAAATCTATATATAAATGTTTATAGAAGCTCTATTCATAATCACCAGAGATTGGAAGTCACCCAAATGTCCTTCAGTGGGTGATGGATAAACAGACCATAGAACATCCATACAACAGAATATTACTCAGAAAAAAAAAAAGAACAAACTATTGATACATGCAACGATATAAATGAATTTCAAATGCATAATGCCATGAAAGAAGTCAGTCTCAAAAAGCTACATACTGTATAATTCCACTTACATGACCTTCTGGAAATGGCGAAAAAACTATAAGGATGGGGAATGGATTGGTGGTTGCCCTGGGTTAGGAGTAGAGGAAAGGTTTGACTACAGGGCAGTAGGAAGGAGATTTTTGGCATGATGGGGCTGGTGTGTATCCTGATTGTGACTGTCTTATATGAACCTAGATGTGTTAAAACTCATAGAACTGTACACCAAAAAGCCAATTCACTATAAATACGCTTTTTTAATAAGAATGAAAAATAGGAATAAATTGGGGAAAAAATGAGAGTAGGTTTCCTATTTGCCTTAACCCTCACCCCCAATCCCCATTTTTCTGTGGCCACAATTTTACAATTTCTGGTTTTAGCTTTTATTAGTTACGACTAAAACACAAATTAATGGAGATATAGGTATTTTATTAGGATGATGTCTATTAACTTACTAATACATATGGTAAAGAGACTAACTTTCACTTTTCATCTCTCTTCACCTCCAGTTTGTTTCGCATTGTTAATATTTATCTTTCTGTGTATTCCATGTGCTAGGTCAAGTCTAAAAAATAGATCAACAGGATTTACAATATAACTGTATAAATATTAGTCATAATGTAATAAAAGTGATCAATCTGAAAGAGAAGGAAATGTAACTTTATATCCTTGAAAATGTATCCTCAAACAGAAATGTCCTGAATGTCGAGATTAATTGGGATATCCTACTATATTCCATGAATTGTTCAGTGGTACTGCATTCTGATTGCTTTAATTTAAGTAAGGCTTTCTTACACAGCTTTTGTTTATTCCTATAACACACTTGGCCTCTTGTTGACAAAAGCATAAGCCTTTATCTCCAAGGCGATCCAGGGAACGGATCCAGGGAATTCACTTTCCTCACTGAAAACCATCTCTTCAGCACGCTCTTTGATCTAACTGGAACATTTGCTCTGCAGTCCTGTGACACCACTGTCCTCATACAATTTTTCACTGTACGCCCAGGTTAGTGCCTTTCTCTCTCGGATTCCGTGCCATCTATCTTAGACACCTTTCTTGTCTTGCTGCAGACTGTGCTCAAATATCTTACCAAGAGAAGCTGTGAGGTAAATGGCAAGTCCTTGCACACCTGGAAGTGCTTTTTTCTGTTCTCACACTTGGTTCATAGGTTGGACGTCATTCTCTCCCAGAACTTTGTAGGCTTATTTCTATTGGCATCTAGCACCTAGTTGTGCTGACAATTAAAAAAAAAAAAAAAAAAAAAAGCATCTGCCAGTCTTTGTAGCTGATTTAATATTTTCTCACCAAGCTTTTGGTATCTTCTTTCTCCTTGGTGTTCTCAAGTTTCTCTGCAGTGAAACTAAATGCAGGTATGATTTCATTTATCTTGCTAGTGCTAGGCCCTTTCAACTTTTTAGTCCTTCCCTCATTTTCTTTGTTCCCTCCTGTATGAGTTTGCTAGGGCTGCCATAATAAAGTCCCACAGACTGAGTGCTTAAACAATAGAAAATGATTTCCTCGCAGTTCTAGAGGCTGGAAGTCTGAGATCAAGGTGTTGGCTGGATTGATTTCTTCTGAGGCCTCTCCCTTTGGCTTGTAGATGGCTGTCTTCTCCATGTGTCTTCACAACATCTCCCCTCTGTATGTCTGTGTCCTAATCTCCTCTTCTTATAAGGCCACCAGTCATATTGGGTTAAGGCCCACCCTAATGACCTCATTTTACCTCTTTAAAGGCCCTATCTCCAAATATAGTCCATTCTGAGGTACTGAGGGTTAGGACCTCAACATATAAATTTGGAGTGGGGAGGACACAATTCAGCCCAAATCCTTCTTTTGCATCTTCTGGATTGTTTCTTTGTCCTACACACATGCACACACCACAATGGCAGATCTGGAAGGAAATACCCTGATGATGGTCACCTGGCCCTTTCCTGATCTTTGTATTTGATTCTGATCTGGAAGAGCCTCTGGGATTCCCTTTGTGCCTCAGAATAGCGTTTTGTGCCTCGGAACACATTGTTTTGATTTCTTCAGAAATGTCTTAAAACTTTGGACAATTATATTGTGGTATCCTTTCTTGTTCTAGTGCTGTTAGAGACTCATTCTTCTTCTTCTTCTTTTTTAATTGTCTTTGATGAGATCTTGGAAAAGAAGGACATGTGAGATCAGCACTACTTTACCCCACCCACCCACCCATGTGGTAAAATATAAACTGGGAAGTTTTTTCTTTTAATTGGCAACATCAAATCCTTAGTCGATCAAAGGTTTTATTGTTTCAATAATACTCAAGAGACAACACATAAATTAAGAGAAGTTCTAGAAAACTAGAGCCAGAAACTAATTGATAAATAGAACAACTTCAAAAGTTCCAGGAAGTCACACTTCTGAGTAATATATAAATCCAAGAAAGAGTATAAAGAATTTTAAGCAAAATGGAATTTTTAAAATTATGTGGTATTAGTAAGTTGCAAGATTTAAATAGATTACCTTAAATAGACCCTTTTAAATAAAGTGGCAATACTTCAGTCAAAAATTGGTTGAGAATTTGATATTGATATTTCTCATGCATTTTTTTAATGTTACACATTGCTACATATGTATGTATCGATAAACAATATGTTTTTTGGCATGTTTTTAAACTTAATATGTTATTATTCTGTGTATATGTTATTCTGCAATAATATAAAGTATATATTATAAAATACTATTTTAATGTTTAGCCACATTGACATATGTACCCCTTATCCAGTCACTAAAACCACCGTGTAATAGTCCATTGCACAAATATACTGTAATTTATCCATCCCTCTTTTCAAGGAAATTTAGGTTATTCTCATTTTTCCAAACAATGCCACAACCCACATTCATATATGTTTCTATGAGGGAAGTTTCTCCAGAGCAGTGGTCTTGAAACTTTTTATCACATCCAATAAAAATATTTTGAGTAAGCACACACTCTGTATGAATGTGGTATCCTTTATAAATTATATACATAAACTAACTGTATCAAAATAATATGTGTATCATAAGTAACAAAAAAAGAAATATAAAAAAGATGAGAAAAGTATAAAAAAACCATATTTTACAAATATTTTTATTAATTAGAGGTACAAAAATCATTCATGTAGATAATGTAATTGTATGCTTTATTAGTTTCTAAAAATCTCAATTTAAGATTTGAAAAAAGCTATGCAGAGGCTGATTGTAAATTCAGTTTATTTCAATCTTGGTTTTCGTGACTGTTGTGCTAAAAAAGATACTTCAAGGAAAGAGTGTGGGTGGGGCATGCAAATCAAAAAATGGGATATGCAAATCAAAACCACAATGAGATACCACTTCACACTCACTAGGCTCTTATTTAAAAAAAAACAACAAAAAAAACAGACAATAACGTGTTGGTGAGGATGACGATAAATTGGAATCCTTAGACACTGCTGGTGGAAATGTAAAATGATGCAGCCACTTTGAAAAACTGTTACCATATGATCCAGCAATTTTACTCCTAGGTATATATCCAAAAGAAATGAGGGCCGGCCCTGTGGCTTGGTGGTTAAGTGCGCGCGCTGCAATGCTGGTGGCCCGGGTTCGGATCCCGGGTGCGCATCGAGGCACCACTTC